CATAGGATAATTTTCTCAGAAACCTTATCCACTACCTATGTGGATTCTCAAAGAATCCTCCAGCTTGTGAGAAATTTCACTGGCCCATATTTGCCACCATCACAAATGTAATAAAGGGCTGAACAAAACATGACATGTTAAACTTATTTATAACATTCCTATGGTCTGTCTTAAGGTTTTATTTAAATTTTGTGGGGGGGCGGGGAGATGGCTCAGTGGAATAAGCGCTTCCCTGGCAAGCACAAGGGCCTGAGTTCAATCCCCCAGTTCCACAATCAATCAATCAATCAATCAATCAATCAATCAAATCTCGTGCCACTTAGTTTAGGCTCCAGGATCAAAGCCAGAAACCTCTGTCTGCTTTTCATGAATATGTTTAAGAATAGCAGATTTTGGATTATAATAATTAGATATTCTAAGGGAATTTTTGACTTACTAAACAAAAACTGTGTTATATAATGAACTCATTTTATAAAAGGAGAGGTAAAATGAGGGATATAAGTTCAAGTGATCTTGTCATCAAACTCAAAGGGCCAACTGGTATTTCATTTTTGTTGTTGTTCAGGGTCTCACTAAGCAGCTTGGACTCATAGTTGTCGCGCGCAGCCTTGCCAGCAAGGAAGACGCGATCAATGGTTGTGTCTGCGCAGCCTTCATTGCTGTCTTACATTTCCCTTCTCTCCCCCCCCCCCAGGCCCCTGCTCTTAGCTTATAAGTCTCAGGGCTTCCAATCATGGGGTGCCACGTACGTACTGTCCATTGGTCCAGGTACGCGGAAGCAATGCATTAGCCCAAGCCTTGGCCTTATATGGAGTTGTTTATTACTAGGAGCGCTCACCCCCTGAGGGGGTGGAAGGCGGAAACTGGCGCCATCCTAGGGCGCGGCTACACGCAGCTCCCTACACATAGTGATCTTCTTGCCTGAGTGCTGGGATTACAGGTGTGTGCCACCACGCCCAGACTCCATCACTGGCTCAGCGTGGCATCCGGTGGCAGGGATCAAACCCTAGCCCCTGCACTTACCTAGGCAAGCATTTAGTCTACTGAGCTATCCCGCCGACCTAAGTTTTTTTTGTTGTTGTTTTTTAATGTATTTAGTACAGGGTCTGTAGGGTTTCACTACATAGATCAGACTCATAGTTACCCACCTGTTTTCAGCCTCCCATGTGTTGGGATTACAGGGGCGCGCCACCACACTAGTCTCAGTCGCCACCTCAGCGCGTGCTCCGGGGGCAGGGCCAGAACAGCAGGCCAGGGGTCGAACCCGGGGCTATGCTCTGCCTAACAGGCAATTTAGTCCACTGAGCTATCTGGCCGGCCCTGCAAACTGGTATGTCTATTTAGAAGAGTAGGTCACTATTGACTTTTAAATATCTGATCCCTACAATGGTAACAGTTCTATGGCAAAGATTTCACTAGATTTTCTTTGTGACTTTAAGTGAAAAATGAAGCAGAAAAAGGTTTTGAAGTGAGCAGGAGTTAAATTATCAAGGTAATCCTATGAAAAGTCTTATTATAATATAAGAATAAGTGAGAAAAATAAAGCAATATTCTTATTGTAAAATAAAAACAAGCCTTTTGTCAAGTTGTCCAACTATATTAAAAGAACTCTTTTAAAAGCTCATTAAAAGTCAGGCAGGGTGGTACACACTTACAATTCCAACATTTGGGAGGCTGAAGCAGGAGGACCACCATGAATCTGAGCCTAGTCTAGACTGCACAGTGAGTTTAAGGCCCAGCTGAAGGACACAGTGAGGCCCTGTCTTAAAAAAAATCCAAAAAAAGTTCAGTAAAGTAGCTCCGCCAGGGGCCAGGGAGATGGCTCAGTAGAATGAGCACTTCCCTGGCAAGCGCAAGGGCCTGAGTTCAATCCCTGGTTCTGTCAAAAAAAAAAAAAAAGAAAAAGAAAGAAAAAAAAAGCGTTCATTAAAATAGCTCTTCCATTTGTTTCCTCTATATTAAAATAATACATTCTTCGGATTATATTCTCTTTTTTTGGCTTTCTTCTTTTCAAGCGGGCATATTAGGTAGGAAGTTGACAGAGAATCAAAAAGGAAAACCTGGGTGGAAATGAGGAAGGAGAGAACTAAGGGTTTCGGCCTCATCTTCCACACTGCGATGTAGGTGCAGAGTGCGCTCGCCAACTGCTACTGTGCTGAGCACCGTGCGCCGGCACTAACTCCCAGCACCGCCTTAACGAGACAGGAAAGAACAGCCTCGGCGAGCGAGGCCTCCGGGATGAAGGAGTGCGGGAGTTCTCACCGGGTGAAGGGAATGTCGTGAAATTAGGCAGCGACGACGCTAAAACCACCGACTTGTACGCTTTGAAAGGATGAATTTTATGGCATGTGACTTATATCTCAATAAAGCTGTTACTCTGAAACATATGTGCTACTAAAAGATCTCCAAAGAAGAGATCTTTTATGTTTTAAGACCATTTCCCCCCCAGGCACGAGAACCAGCTTAGTCCAAATATCCTGCAAACCTCAGCGTGCCTTTCGGCTCGGGGCCAGAGCGCACAGAATCCCTCCCGTCGTCTCTGCGCAGGGTTCTGGCACAGGTGAAAATGCTGGGGAGGTTCGTGGCGGTCGCTTTTGTCCTTTTTCACTCCAGTCTTCACACTTTTTGGGTTTTCCCAGGCTTTTAAATCTCCTGCCAGCTTCTGTCCTCCTCAGCTATTCTGTGGGTAGACCAGTGGTTTCTCTTACCTACCCTGCGGTTTCCAAAACACTGGGAGTTCAAGCGGGTCCAAGAGACAGCCGAGAGTGTTTCTCTCTCAGCCTCCCACAAGACGTGTACAAGAGGAACAGCAAGGCGAGGGGCAGGAATGGCGAGTCTCGACTTGACGCTTCCCTACGTTGGGCTGATGAACAAAGATTTTATTTCCTGTGGTCCATCATTGGTAAGAAGCAGATATAATTTTCTAAAGAAGCTATTTTCCACCATTCAACCCCTGTCATCTGGCAGAGAAGGGCCCGGAGAAGTGGCCACATGCTGCAAGATGACCATGGTGCCACCGTGAAAGAACCGGCACCTCGCGCGTCCCAGCCCCACGCAGCTCGAGTTGGCGCCACGTCACCCTCTCCTCCTGGCCACACACTGCTGCTCCCACGCTGGCACGGCTTCTCCATTTCTCTTCAGGTGATTAATTCTTCCCTCCCAGCCCCATTCCTTTCTGCCAGCTCACAGTCCTTCTCTGCCTCTTGCGGGTTTCGGCTAACACCTGCTCAGCCCTGGACTAGGCGACCCTTCTCAGCTCACATTTAGCAAAGCAAATGGGTACATTATTACCCCCAATTCTCCACCGCTCCGGTATGTTCTCAGCTAGCTATAAAGGCTTTAGGCATTCAAGTACATAACACCGTATCACATGAAGACCACCATAAAATACTGTAACGTACCAAAGCCCCCCCCAAAAAAAACAAAGATTTAAAAATAGAAGATTTTTTTTATTTTCTAAAGTGGGCATGGGGCTGGGGAGATGCCTCAGTTGGATAAGCGCTTCCCTGGAAAGCGTAAGGACCTGAGTTCAATCTCCGGTTCTGCCAAAAATAAATAAATAAATAGGGATTTTTTTTTTTAAGTGGACTTTTCATGCAATTATATTTTATTAACAACATTGATTTCATGATAAAATATTAAAAACTTTGTTCGCCGAATGTAAATGTATTATACATGTTCTGCGTTAAAGTGGACTTTTTGTGTATTTAGGACAGGGTCTACAGGGTCTCACTCCACAGATCAGACTCATAGTGAGCCTCCTGTTTTCAGCCTCCCAAGCGCTGGGATTACAGGCGCCACCATGCCCAGGCTCAGCTGCAGTCTCAGTGCCGGCACCGCACGCTGGAGATCAAATCCCGGTGCCTGCCTAAGCAGGCGCTTTAGTCTGTTGAGCCATCTGGCCGGCCCTTAAAGTGGACTTTTAAAAGGAGCCTTTAAAAGAAATTATACAGTAAAACAAAATAAATGCTAGAATAATAAGATTTATAAAAATGGCATTATCTATTATTTACTATTTAATCCCCTTACAATATTACTTCTCAGGGAGGTTGGATACATTGACAACAGTAAGAAAATAAAGAAGCACCGGAAAATTTCATAACGGGTTTTAAAAAGTCACAGAGCACAACAGTTCTAAAGCTACTGGAAGTTTGATCTCAAACTCTGATTCTGAGAGATCCGCACTCCCCATTTATAATAACTTTACATAATTAACATTCAAGACTCTGCCCTGCCATCCGCAATCAGAGAACTAGAAACAAAGAAGGTGCGTGGTGTTCAGACACCCCTCAAACTATGTGAATTTAGAAAAACAAAATTGTGATTTTTGAACTTTTCACTAATGGGTTCTAATCCTGTCCCTTTTTTTTTTTTTTAATTTTGCACACAGCTGTCTGTTGTACTTTTTAGAATCACACCAGATGCTGGGTTCATCAAGCGAGAGCTGGGAAACAATGCCTGCGAAGCAATTAGAGGCGGCGAGGCCGGGGGAGACTCATATTAAAACGCCATAGCGCGGCTCTGGGGGGAATCTCTGCGCAGCTCTATCCTGACATTTCCGCGCTGCCAGACAGGCGGGCTGCGCGGAAGGGCACCGAGACCAGGAGGTAACGTGCTGGAATTCATTTCTGCAGCAGATGAAGGCTCAGCCGAGCTGGGACCCACCCAAGGCTTTTGTTACGAACTTGGCCAGCATTTTAGTGGAATGTGACTAGATCTTGTGGGCATCTAACAAAGCCCAAGGAATAAGAACCTATTAAAGCTCCAGTTCAATAAAATGATCTAGCATCATAAAATAATCCAGCGGAAGGCAGAAGCAGAAGGCTTCTCATGGTTCAACACCAGCGCAGGGAGCCCCAGCAGGGAGAAGGTTAATTAAACACTCCACTAACTTTCCTCAGCAAGAGCTAACGCCCCTGGCAGAGAAGCTGAGGCAGAAAAGACAATAAACCCCATTCTGCACCTGTTTGGTGCAGCCTTACCCAGCCACCGAGACTCACCTTGCAGGGGGACGTCCCAGCAGTACCTGAAATACAAGAGGAAAAAATGGAGATAAGTCCAACTTGGGTGCTCAGTTGTGACTGACATACAGCAGCTGGCCAGTCCAACGAGCTTGCTAGAGAGTCCATTATTAGTGAAATCCTAGTTTTGTTTAAAAAAAAAAAAAAAGAGTTGTCTTTTAAATATGAAAATTCTTTTTCAGGACTGGGCATTGAACCCAGGACCTTCTGCGCTCCCTCACTATCCCTTTTTAAGATGTGTTAAATTTTGAGAGAGGGGTCTCACTAAATGACTGACTCACCTAGCTAGCGCTGAACGTATGATTCTCCTGCCTCAGCCTCCGGGCGTGCCAGGATCACCAGCAAGGCCACCGGGCTCGGCTATGAAAGCTTCACAAAAGCTGCATTAACACTGCGCTTCCCTGGCAAGCGCAAGGGCCTGAGTTCAATCCCCCAGGTCCGGGGGGGAAAAAAAAACAAACAAAACAACCTACCACATAACTCATAGGGAAAGTGATTTAACGGCTGGAAAAGACCCCAGAAGAAACCTCCCAAGGGAGCCACAGGGGAGCAGCTCCGTTCTCGGAAACAATGCCCAGTTGTGGCAACAGCCTTCCACACGACCACCACCACCAGCACCAGCACATCCTCCCACGACTGACCACCTGAATTCTTCCCCTGTAGCTGAGGCACAGTGGATGCGGGCTCGCCTCACATCTAGGCCAGAACTGCAAAAGGATCTGCAAGACTAGGAGTGTTCAGAGCCTTCCACCAACACAATAAGCATCCTGTGTACATCACAACTTGGACCCCAACTTGCATTTTCTCCAGGGACAGTGTCCCACCCAGGAAAGTCTGCACGGAGCAATATAATTCTTTTTTTCAGTACCAGGGATCGAACTTGGGACCTTGTGCTTGCCAGGCAGGCACTTATGCCACTGAGCTATGTCCCCAGCCCATTTTTTCTCTTTTCAACGCAGCCTTGATGTGCCGCCATGCACCCCAAGGCTCATAGCCCACGGCCCTTCAGGGGATTGCGATTGGTCTGTCGGTATGAGGGAGATCAGTCCAGTGCGTAGCAGGGTTTTTTCTTTTCTGTGTAAAACACATTAGGAAAATGGAGAGACACCGGTAAGGTGGGGGGCCCCATGGATGGGAGAGATGATCAGAGATGGGGAGGGAAGATGGAGGAGAAACCTGACGGTCATCGCTCCCCATTCCTGCCCTTCACAGAGCGGTCCTGGGCTGACTCTGGGCAACGGAGAAAGACGGGAGTCGCCTGGGGCAGGGGCAGGCGAAGGCCAGGCAGCTTCGCCCACAGGCAGAGAGAAGCAGGTAGCCGGGATCTGGTCCAGGAGGTGTGTCTGGTCCGGTGTGGGAAGGGCCGGCCTCCTCCTAGCAGTAGCTATGCAAACTCTTCTGTTAAACAGAGCTAAAATTCCTACCATGACTCAGCTTCTAATTAAATAGAAACCAGTGGATGATCTTGGCCCTCTTGGTACCTTCCTCTCAGGGCACCCGCTGCAAGCTTGCACCTATTTCCCGCTCCTGCTCCGCCACATGCTGGCTTCTCGTCAAGCAGAGAGGGGATGCTCGAAGTCCACAGGTACTAAGAGCTTCGCCTCGCCAACAGCAGCCATTGTATAGAGAAACGATTCAAGTGGCAGATCCAGAGCACAAAAGGTCGCAGGACTGACAGATACTGGAGAGCCTAACCTGCTTTCTTTTCGATAATGTTGTAATTAAACATTTCCATTAAGCTTTCAGCTAGACGATGAACAAGTTCCGAGGACCCAGTTACTGCCAGCATGATGATCAGAGTTAACAATACTGAGTTACATACCGGAGATTTGCTAATAAGGCCAAATTATATATATACCAGACCTTCAATGTTCTCAGCATTTGTCAGAAAAGAGTAACCCTGCAAGATGACGGATGCTTTTTTTTTTTTTTTTTTTTTCATTTTTTATGTATTTGGTGCAGGGTCTTACTATGTGGCTTGGACTCGTAGTGGTCCTCCTGGTTCAGCCTCCCCAGCGCTGGGATTACAGGCATGCACCACCACCCGGACTCTGTTACCAGCTCAGCATGCACTGGGGGCGGGGCTGGCACAGCATGTGAGACCAGGGATCGAACCCTGGTCCCTGCGCTTGCCAAAGTAGACACTTAGGTCTGCTGAGCTATCTTGCTGGCCCTGATGGATGCATTTATTAACCTGATTATAGTAATAATTTCAGAATGCATATACACATTGGGTCAAATTGGGGGGTGCGGGGCTTGAGACAAGGTCTCTCTGTGAAGTCCAGGCTGGCCATGAACTCACAGCGATCCTGTCTCAGCCTCCAGAGTGCTGGGACCACGGGCGTGCACCACCACAGCTCCTGCACATCGGGTCATGCTGCACATTTGAAATGTAGGCGATTTTGTCTTTTCATGAAAAGAAATAGCTCTGCAAAGAAAATTCGTATGTTGAACCATGCTACTTCACAGCATGGGGAGGACACTGATTCCCCACTTTTTCAGAAGGCATCAGTCTGTTTCGCTACCCTAATTTCTCTCCCTCTCTTCTTTTTTTTTTCAATATTTTATTTATTTCGGGGCTGGAGAGATGGCTCAGTGGTCTAAAGCACCTACTTGGAACCAGCTTGGCAAAGCACAGGGACCGCGGTTCAAACCCCCAGCACCACATGCCAGCCAGCCCCGCCCCCTGGTGGGCTGAGCTGCCCCCCCCACAATAAATAAATGTTAAAAAAATATTTTATTTATTTCT